TGTGCTACAAAAATTGCATTTAAGGTATGCAATAAAATGCCATGCATAAATTTTGCCCTTTTGCTCTTTTTGCCCTCCGATGTGAACAAAAGGCTCTGGCCCTGGAAAAAAAAGAGGAAAAAGTCCATTGAGGCACAAAATAAGATTATTAACATTGTTAAAGCGAACGAGAGCAGGAAGCCAGGGTTGTGGGACTTTCGACTCGGATGCCCAAAATAGGCGAGACTTCTGATGATTGGCTTTGGCCAGGACAACAAAATGATGCTTTTTTTTCTACCATCGGGTTGTTATTCTGTTCGGTTAAGGCTTCTCTTCTACACCAAAATGCGGAAACTGTAAACTACAAAAAATTTATTTAAGGAAGCTTTCAACAGCCGCACTGAGAGCAACAAAAACAACTGCACGAGGAGGAGTAAAAATGGAAAATGGCAAACAATTTAAGAAAACCATTTGTTGGCTAAGCCCTGAGGGTGGCCAAAAAAATGATACAGTGCTTTTGGACTGTTTGCAACGTTTCTATACTCTTTAAAATAGTTAGGAAGATCTGTTTTGAAATATTCAGTTACTTAATGTTTATTAAAAAACCATTTCCACTTATACGTACGTAGTATTAAGAGTTTACATTAAAAATTGTAAATAAGTTCTCCTTTCTGCAAATTTTTTGAATTAAAAGAATATTTTATATTCGGAATACAGTTTGGTATTTATAAAAAGTATAAGCTTTCAAGCGATTTTAAAGAACTACAAATGTTGAAAAGTTTTAATTTTAGTTTTCATTAGCTAAAAAACCTTTTGTTAGAGAAGACCACGCCAACCAGCCTGCAATAAGATTGCAAGGAGTTAGGCAACAAAATGGCAAACTAACAACATTTTGGGGCAACACACAGAGTTGACTTTTGGTCTTGGTTTTGGTCTAGTCTTGGTCCTGGTCTTAGACCGAGGTCTATGGTCCTGAGCCGGGGCAACTGATAACTTCCGGCCAGCAACAACATCATAAACAGCCACTTGGCACAATGAAATGGCTTTCTCTTCCCCCTTCCCCTATATACTGACTTTTTCTACTTTTCTTTCTCCTGCCAAAGGACTCGACTTGGTCTATGCAAAAGCTGCCAAGATGATGGATGGAGAGCGAAAGGCTTGCACTGGCCGGCTTGATGATGCTTCGCTGGCTGCTCTTTTTGCCACCATAAATTGTAAGGGAGCTGGGAGCCAAAAGACATATGTCTAAGTAGTATCATCTTTGTGCATGTACCTTTAAATCTTCTGGTTTTACGCTCAATATGCTCAAGCTACCCGCCCTTTGCCTCCATATCTCCATTGTCATAGCCCAGAACAGGGTTCATTTGTTAGTGTCGCCGCTGCACTTGGCTGCGGCTTCTCCGTACTTAGGGTAAGTCCTACATATCCTTTTAGCAGGAGATCCTGCCCTCCACACACTTTAACACACACACAAATATACGCTCCATCTAACAGGGCTGGCAGGGCCACATCATCTGTTCAACTAAGCCCACAAGGACCCAGTGATTTAGCCGGCTTGCAGAGGCTGCTTAATTATTTTAGACCATTAGTTCTAATCTCGTCATTGAGTGGATTGGCCTAGTATAATATTGATTTTAAAAAAGGCTTAAAGCTCGTTTGCCGCATTTTGACTTAACAACCTTTGCTTTTCCATAAAAGTATTAAGATTTTATTTTATTATTTTCTTGATTTTAAATCAAAATCAAAACTAATAGAAATTTTACAATTTTATTTATTAACCCTTCCTATTGTCTTTTTTTTTAAATTATAGCTCTTAAGATCTGTTCGTTTCTTTGGTTTAAATAACTGAAAGTCTCCTCTGAAAATAACACCTTTAACTATTTTTTCGTTTTTTCCTACAGAGTTGACCATCGGGCTTCCTTTTAAGTTGTTCAAGTCCTTTGAGCTTCCCTTTGGGCCTTTGAGGATGCGTTTGCCCTGGCTCTTATATCCAATTTAAATCGGGTGTATCTGCTGGTTACACATTGAAATCCAATTAATGTAAATAAATACAAGAAACAAGCAACCAGAAAGAGGAAATCATGCAAACAAGCGAGTGAGTGCGTGGTTTCTTTTATTTAAAAATTTTTTGTTGATGTCAAAGGAGGGTAATGTGAAATAGTGAGAGGGGCAGTTGGGACCGCATATGTGTGCCCTCAATGCAATTAACGTTACTTTTGTGCGGCGTCCACTTTTGGGGCAGGGTTTTTTCCGTATTTTCTGCCTCGACCTCGCCCCATCTGTATCTTCGTCTCCTGTTTGCTAATGCTTAAGCCAAGTAAAGAACGTTAATCTGTTGCAATGTGGCCAACACACCCCCGCACTAATACAATTTGCTTGGCCATTTCATTCGTTTTTACCATCTCCTTTGTTGTTTTCCCCCTCGTTTTTCCATTTTTTTTTTGTTTTGTTTTTTGCGTGCTCTGCTTTTCCTTCGCACATTTGACAGGACGAATGGCAGTAGAAAACGGCAGCCGTTAAGCAGTTTCGCCTCGTTTTTCATTGCAGCGTAAGATTTGTTTGTTTCCCTTCCCCCAGGTCTTGGATGTTTGCTCTCGTTTCCGGGGAAATTGAGTTTTTATGCCAAGAAGTCCACGCATATGTGCGTTTGAAGTTGATTCTTGGAGTATCAAAAATTTGACTACTTTATTATATTTATTTGACTTAACAAGTAGAAAGCTTACTTTGCAAATTAAATTGTATTGTTATCTTCAAGCGTAAATGTATATTCCTTTGATATAGAAAAGTCCCTCTTATATTTATCAGATATTAAATACTGCTAAAATCCTAGACTTGAGTAGTTTTAATTAATAATATATATAGCCATGAAATAAAAGTTAATATTTTTCAAACTAAATTAAACCACTTTTATATGATCTAATGTTTATAATTTATTCCATAGAATAGCATTATGATGAGTAAATCTCATAAAATATCTATATTACTTTGCATTTAACAGTGGTAAAATATTTTTATGCCATCCACATTTAAAGAGCATTTTCAAGGCGATGACTTCGCCAATTTGTCTGATTTTTGTTTCCGTGTTTTTGTGCGCTTTCTCGGCTGGCAAGTAAAATTGCTAACGGAATTAGCGCACCATCAGCCATGCAATGTTGGCTCTGGTTCCTGTTTCTGCTCCGTATCAAGTCTGCTGTTTCTGTTGCTGATTCTGCGTCGGATCTTGATTCGGATTTAGGTCCCGATTCCACTCCAGCTGGAGTGTCCTCCCATCTCTGTTTGGGCTTCTGGAGTTGCCATTGCTATCCTTCGCCATACATTTCCCTTATTCTTCTATTCTGGCTTTGTTTATTTCACGTTGTTCGTGCTACTATCCTTTACAACATCATTTGGCTGTACGGCTATATATTATCTCTTTCTCTCTTTATTTTCCCCGCTGAATCCTTGGCGCGGTGCTTTAAAATCTTCATGCATATTTAAATGTTATGTGGCCATTGGCCAATGTGCTTTCCAAGAGCCCCAGCGATATGTGCAGATGGCATAATTGATTAGATGTGAAGTGCTTATAAGCGATGTGGTCGCTTTTGTTGGCTCACGCGGGTGGTGGTGCTTTATGGTGGAGTGGCTAAAAAAGCCATGACAATTGTTAGCCACCATGTTGGATTAAGAGGCGCTTTAAACAGCAGCTGAGTTTAAGGATTTCTCACTGCCTGTCACGCTGAGTGGTCTTTTCTGGAGACAGGCTTGTGCAAATGGAATTTTTCTGACGCCCCAGACATACAAGCTTGTCAGAGTTCCTATTAAGGGGTATGTTGGTATTTTACTCATATTACATTTATCATCTTTACTTCCAAAAAATCTGTTTTTAAAAAGAAAGATTTAATTTTTAGGCATTTAGTACATATAAATGAGGTATCTTTTTTATAAAATAAAATAAATAATATCAATCCTTGCATTGATATTAATTTACACTTACTTAATTTAGACTTACTCCTTAACTTTTTTATGAAAATTATAAAGTAAATTAACAACAATTTGGGTATTTTTTATCCCAATATTGGTTTGACTTGTGCTGTCTTATTTTTCGCGTTTGAGTTTGCATCACATCCCGCGAACTGTTTGTCATTTTGCAGTGGCATGACACAAGGAAAGCGACACCAAGGACATCCGAAATGGTTTTCCGAGCGGAGAACCGTACATCCCTATCGCCCTCCCTATACCATGTGAGCCAAGTGAGCGACAGGCCAGTGGTAGTGCCGTCCTGGCCCATTCCTTCACCATGGTTTTGGCCCATTCCCAGTCAGCCAGGGCTGTCCAGCTTTAGTTTGAGCCGAGCTGCTTGTTATGCACGCGCTGATGAAAGACGGGTTCCATTTTTTTTTTCAACACTGGATTCCCTTCCTGATGTTTTGTTTTGGGCCCGTTCTCTGGCTTACAACAATGTTGGTTTTGTAGCTGTAGCTGGATGTTGTTGGCAATCAAAAGCGTGTTTGGCCAACAGCTGGCATGCGCCATTCATTCATTGTACGAACTACGTAGCAAGACAGGCGACTGCAATCATTTTTATTAATTTTACCCAAAAGGGAATTTATGTTGCTGGCCGAACCCGGGGTTGTCCTCTCGGTCATTAGTTATGTGGCCAACAGGAGACGGAGCTCATAAAAGTCCTGGCCACCGAGGCATATACATATATGCAGATCGCTCCCTGAACTAATTGGATATTTTAATTACATTCGGCAATAAGCAAAGTCGAAGTATCCACCCAAATGGCCAAATAATAACTGCTGAAATAGGCAAAGGAATGCAAGGAAACTCTATTGTGATGTCCTTAAGTTGGCATGCACCGGAAAAAACATATTAAAATTACTAGATTTGTAGGGTTAAATTATTAAAACAGTTTAAGAATGTATGTTACTTTTTTTATTGTCCTTATATTTATGAGTTATTCCTACAAGATCATCATTGTAATCTTTTTCAGAGTGATAAGCTCTTAAATCATTAACTTTTCCTGGAATTCCAAACATTTATTTTCCCTCAGTGATATATCCGCCATGTAATTTGTTTGCATAATAACAGTTTGCCATCATCGCATTGTTGCTGTTGTGGGTGATGGTTGCTGCCGGCTCATCTGTCTGCATATTTCAAGAGCTGCTCAGCTGCTTGAATTCACAGGACACCACACCATCACCACACAGGGAAAAGGACCAGAAACGGCTGCCGAGCGAGAGAAAGCCGAAGATTGATTGCCTTATGAATGCGAATGGATATGCATATAAAATGAAATCTAGAAATATTACTCTAGAATATATCATAACTTGATTCCATGACAATCCCAAGCTGAAAATGTATTTATATTTGGATTTAACTCGGAGTCAAAATGATGTTAAATATATACATACCCCTTGAAAGGAATGCTGGCGTCTCATCTTGTGACGTTTGCAGTGCTCGAATGTTGAAATGCCACGCCAAATAGCACCACCCAACCACCGACACCACCGGCGACAACAAATGCACATTAAAAAGCAACAATAACGAGCTGGTTGGACACAAATAAAAATATATAAGAAAAACGAGATGAAAACAACCAAAGGAAAAGATATGCCAGCGGTGGAGCATATTCTCCGTTGTTACCAGAAAAAAATGCCGGGGAACATAGTCGTTAAAACCAAATGTGCTGATTTCCTTAGTACTCTGTAGTCTCTATAGCTACTTCGCCTATATAGTGTAGCTCTTGTCCTTGCCTGGGGTTCCCCCAAAACAGACAGGAGCGATAAACTTTTTGTATGAGAATTAATTTGTGCTCTCGGTTCTTGTACTTTGTTATGCTTTTAGTCCTAATGGGCAAAAGTGAGCATATTTTGAATACAATCTGAAGTAGGTTCTGTCTGAAGAGAGATTTTTAAATAGTGGTTCAAAACTGATATTCATTTTTTTAAATGGTGTATTTTCATATGATTTCTATAAAAACTTCTCATAAAGAGTCAATATCCCTTAAATACAGTCCCCGAATGGCAGTTCCAATTCAATACCCATAAATCAGCCTAAATTATGTTCGCACTAAACTAGAACTCCCGAAACATATTTACGATTTCCGAACTTGCTGACTCTCCAGTTGGTATCTTCTTTTGTAATTGCCAATAAGTTAATATATAGACTGGTCTCATTTTGGCCAAAGAAAAGGAATTACGCTTATCGCGATAATCGACCCCAAAGAAAACACTCAACAACTGGCCAAATTACAAGCAACAACAAAAGGCGAAATGTCATTTGAGTGCCATAAAAGCAAAGTAAATAAGTAAATCAAGAGTGGTATTTACCGAGTGCCGAGACCAAAAATGATCTGCAGCTTAAATAAATTTGGCAGAAAAATATAAAAAGGAGGCAAATGTAAGGCTAAATAAAGAAGGGAACACCTGCGAGAGAAATGGGCAAAGTTCCCTGGCAGCCCATCTTTCAAATTTAATGTCTAATTTAAATGTTGTAAATACCAACTGTGTGTGTGTGTGCGGGCGTGTTCGTTGGACTTTGTTATGCAAATGACTTGAGCTGCCCGGGAAATGCCGGGAAATTCACACAGTTAACACCATGGTCGAGAGGGGTCGGAAAACGGAAGCGTCTCTGGTCAAAAGGCCGCAGTGAGTCTACCGTTCCACTTGCGAATTTGCAACTCAGCTTCCCGCACAGACGCCGTTGTAAATATCATTAACGTGATTTTAAAGCCGGCTCATAAAACTGCCAAACAGCTAAAAGAAAACCGTCGGGCTGAGAGCCCTCTTGAGTGTCGGAAATTCGCTTTTAATTTCTGCAGCAGGCGTGGTCGTGGCCACCGCTTTCTAAATGCCTTTTTGGTTAATGCAGATTTCCTTCTCTTATATTTCGCTTTTTGTTGCGCCACGCACCTGCTTTTTATATTCATCCAGACCTTGATTTATGCCCGGACAAAGGGATGCTCTTTGCCGGTATTTCCCACCTTTGTAATGCAATCCCACACTTTTAGGACGCACTTGATAGGATCTTATTGACAGAGAAGAGAGGTCAAAAAATGTTAGTACCGCTAGCAACAGGGAATGGAAATCTAGAATTTTTCTTTTATAGAAAAATAAAGAAAACGTTCATATTTTTCTTCGTATATAAAGGAAATTCAAGAAATTTTCTCCTTCTACATTTCAAATTCATTGATTTACAGCAACAAAAAAATTCGCTTCAAAAAGCGTGTAAAAATAGGAAATATTTATACTTGACAGAGCAAATCAAATTATATGTTAGGATCAAATGCGCCACCGGAATCAAAGTGGTCTAAATTTGGTCGTGACATTTCCCTAATGTCGCCGCGGAAATTAGCTTAATTTTTAATGCGGAATGTCTCAATCTAAGCTCTTAGAGTGACAAACGAAAATAATCGAAATTTTCCCAAAAAAATGTATAAAATCTCTTTGATAAATTCCACTTTGGTGAATTTAGCAATATACTTGTCATACTTGGAAAATTTAACTAATTGAATTTTGGTCCTTCCTGCAGTAACGTTAATTAGCCAGCCGAGAAACCAGAGCCAGTGTAAAACTGAGAGCCAACTGAATTTCTTGGCAAATCGCGACATCAAAGTGTGTGTTTAACTGATATAAACCATCCCAAAAGGTCGTAGAAAATTTGCTGAATAATTAACCGAGAGCATCCAAATTACATTACATTAAGTGCTGCCTGTGGAAGTGTTCGCCAATCTTTCAACCGCCGCTTGTCTCCAAATTGTGGGCACGAATGAATATTCCCATTAAAATTACACGCAGCTGTTTTTGCAGGGCACAGAGTCCACTGAGGACCTGGCGAAAACCAAAACACAGACCAGACATTGGCTAGCCATTAATTCAACCATTTTACGCAATTGTAATGGCCAGTGAATTTAACAAGCGGGAATGCTGTTGAAGTGTAAAACGTGACTCCGGCTACGACTCCTTCCTTAAATTTAATGCCCAAAAATATTATGTTTGAGCAACAAGGACACGACCATAGCAACTCTCCACTGGCCCCTTGGGGAATTTGCAGCATTTAAATGCCAACTTTTCTCATATTTCATTTGCTTCTAATTAACTTAATTTGCTTGCTGGCCAACGCAAACGAGTTTCTTGTTTCTCTTCCATATGTGAGCAAAGGCAAAGTAACAAGTTCTGTCCTTTCAATTATGAAATAAGCAAAACAAAGTTGTTTGCAAGTTAATTAGCCTAATACGAAAAAGGTGAATTATAAAATGTTTTATTGTCGGTGACATGCAGAGGAAACATCTGTTTCAATGGGAATGCTATTATACAGACTCTTGAGTTCATGGAAATTTATCTTTCAATTAGTTTAAGGAAAATATTTAGGCACGCATAAAGATTAGGAACTAAAGAAGTTGAAGTTTTCAGAACTTGAATTTATAAAGAAAATAAACTCTAGAAAATTGTACCTATCTTTGCCTTTTTTATTGGCTTAAATGGCCAATTAAGCACCTCGAATCAAGGTACAGCTTTTTTATTTGGGCTTTTATTTCTGTCTGCACATATGGAACTTAAAATCAATTTTGATACCTCAATCAGCCTGGGATATTCAATTTGGTTAATGCGCTTTTCAGCTTAAGCGCAATTATATTCAATTTGTCCGGAATATTACGTGCAATCCGGTAAAGCCAATGGAAAGTGACAAAGGCGCTACTGGACAAACCAACCAAGCAAAAAAAGAAAAACGACACCAATAAATGGAGAACTCGTGACCCATGTGAGGTCAACTTGTCTGCCATCTCCGGTCTTCCTGCAACCCATTTCCCGGCTCCTTTTTCCCCCACTATCTGTCCTTTTTGTCACTCTCCATTCCGCCGACTGCCACAATAAATAAACAATGCGAACAAAAGAAATCCAATAACAAATTTTTAAACAAGTGTTAACGCTACCTGAGCCCCGTCATCGTCACGATGGAAATGGGAAAAACAAAAGCATAACAGAAACCAAAGAGGGAAATGCGGCGTTTTAAATGTGGAAATGGAAAAATGCAAGTACGAGTATATAAAGTGCCAGCCGAACTGACCAGAGAGTCAGGGATAAGCTCCGCCCCGGGGAATCGGGATCTGTTCAGCCGGAGTTTTGGTGGGATGGCATTTTGAGCCTGGGCATTGTGGTCGGCTCTGCGTTTCTGCCACGGCGTTAAGTGCTATGCCAAAAAAATATGCAAACAAAAGCCTCGTTTTCCCAGCAATACAACAACCACTGCAAATGCCCCTCCATTCGTGCGTGAGTTGAGTGCGTGGAAAAATATTTGACTACAGCACCGGTCCATAAATACTGTGCGCCGAAGTGCTGGGACACCAGGTAAATATGCTGCTCGGTTGCTCCCACTATTTTTTTTGGCTGGTTTGTTAATAAACGAAAATGTTTTAAATGAATGCCAAGGTGAATTGCCGAATACTGTTATATTGTGTGGGCAGAAATAAAATATTATTGAATTGACTTTAAAAGGTTTTCCCATAAAAATAAAAAAAAAAAATTTGAAACCTAAAAGTGACATTTTTCAAATCATTTATTTAAAACTCTTTTTAAAGCTTGTCAGTTATGAAATATAATGCATATATCATGACACATAGCATATTATATTCATATTTAAATGATGTCAACGATTCCTTTTGATTCACAGTTGGCCAGTTACTTGTGTCCGCATTAATAAACTATTTTATGACTTTGTCGCTTCGTTTATCTCTTTGAAAATCTCAGAGCGGAAATTCCTTTTTTACTTTCTGTCTTCAATTGCAATTGCAATTTCACCAGCCTTTTTATTCTTTCGATTTCAAAAGCCTTTTCAGCTAATTAACTGGCAGCAGCTGCAAAAAGTCTTGCAAGTTTTTTAACTTTACTGCAGCAAAGCCAAATAAAAACCCTAGCCAGACACTTGCCACATCAGACATCGTAAAATTAATTTAGGTGACAAAAAGAAATAGGAGCGGGCAATAACAATTTGATTTAGTGGCCTAGAGCTGCCAAAGTCATTAAATTTAGGAAAAAAGATTGCCACAGAAAATATAGTGCGAAAAAAACTTTCAGCAACAAAAATAATTGTGCCGTTCTAGCTCAGCCATAAAAAAATATCACTAAAAATAAAGCAACAAAAAAAATTAAAA